TTTGTCAGACCTGAGATACATTTACTTCCACCAATCAGCAGCATGCACTACTGAGGTTGTAAGTGTTCATAAGTGTCTGTAACTCATGTAAGTTAAGTGTTCATTTTGTTGTTTTGCAGATGTTGTTTTGCTCAACCCCGCCACACAGAATCACAGATTGATCAACTATTACATCCGAGTCTGTGTGTAGCAATTGCAACACATGTGCGATGCTATGGCGCTGGATTAGTTCAAAAAATTACATACAGGAAACTCACTTACACACAGATGCCGAACACACACACAAATGACTAAACACACCATGTCTCATATTGTAACACATTTGATCAGTACTATAGGCACATTTTCAAGTTAAATGTGTTTTCTAACTAACTAGTGTCTTGAATCACCTTGATGAGATCAAAAGCGAGACAGAATGCTGTTCCTTTCTTCACCATCTGAAGCAGCAATTTCCAGCACTCTGGATTGACCCTTCTAATTTCTGGCCCAAGTGCTCAATACCTTCTTGGAATTTTTGAGGATTGTGGCCATTAAGGAGGAAATGAGCCATTATATATTATAGGGGAGTTCAAAGCTGGATTTTGAGGCCGATTTGGATGTGGATTTGGATGTGGATTTCGGATGGATTTTGGCTGGTCAAGCAGCAACATTTGGCAAGGTGAGTCGGACTCTGAAACACGTGCAACGTGACTTACACACCATGGTCTTGTTTACTGTACAATGCAACTAGATCCTCCTTTGCTGCCTATAGATCAATAGCTTACCCTGAACCATGACGAAACACATAAACAACTGACATCGCAAACACCTGTCAAATCTGTTGATCCGAAGTCCCGCAAGAAGAAGGCCATTCCTGTGCTAGCTGCACCTGACTTCAATTCTGTGTCCGTATTCTGGCTCAAGAAGTGCAGTCTCATGCCTGGTCTTACATTCTCATCAGCTGCAAAGAGGGTATATACACCGATTTTGCTTGCTTGCTCTTTAACTGTGTCCATTCTCCTGACTCAAGAAGTGTGGTCTCATACCTGGTCCGAGTCTTGCATTCTTCAATGAACTCATCATTTGCAATGAGGGTATGCACACTGGTTTGCTCTCAGTTATCAGTAGTGCTCGATTTTCTGCAATACAAGTGAAATATTTGCCAGGGCTGCAGCGGCCCAATGATTCAACATCAGGAAAACCCTCCTGGGGAAAAATGTTATAATTTTCACAAAAAGTTGTGATTCAGATAATTCTATCTAATTACCAGAATTAGGAATAAAATCGCTAGAAGACGATAATGTACAATGTGAATATCACAAAATATCAAGAACTACTTGAATATACAAAATGTGTATCTATCTAAATATGAGTTCAACCAAAAAGTGTTACAATCATCCAGAAATGTATCACTCATCCATTCTCATGGGACGACAGCACCAAAAGTCAGTATCAGATGGACACTACACACAATACTTGTCAATTTTTCACCACCATGGAATGATCACGAGACCTGGACTGTTGGCAGCAAAAGTTGAGTCTGAAAAGTGGTGTAGACCAGAGGGTCCAAAAGGAAACACTGATACAGACCAAAACACGCTAGAAGTAGTAGAAAGGGAGGTGGGTGGGTGCGAAAAAACGAGAGAGTGATGGGCAAAGAAGATGGGCGCAGAGAAGAAGAGACAGACTTGGTGATATCTGATGAACAAGGACAACACGTGTAAACAAATAAACAAAGAGCCTCGTTGAATATTTGTGCTTATTTACTCTCATGCTTGTTTATCACACGGTTCCATTTTTTTTTTCACTCGCATTCTTCCACCACCACCACATCATGTTTGAGTCTTGTGAGTGTGTCGATCCTCCTTTGAGCTCGAGCCATGCTGATCAAAGGTGTCACCTACTGTTCACAGAATGTGAGTGTCAAACCTCGTTCGAGCTTGAGCCATGCCCAATGTGTTGCCCACCATTCGCAGGAAGTGAGTGTGTTCTACCTCGTTGAGCTCGAGCCCATGCATTGTTCACTGTTCGCAGGATGTGAGTGCCAATCCTCGTTTGAACTCGAGCCATGCTGGATTCCAAGGTGTTGCCCATTGTTTGCAGTGTGAGTGTGTCTGTCCTCCTTCAAGCCTGAGCCATGCTGATCAAGTCATTGTCTGCCATCCACAGTGTGTGATCCTTCAAGGTCGCCATGCTGATCGAAGTCGTTGCCCACCATTCGCAGTGTCTTGGTGAGTTTATCCTTTTTCACAATTGTTTTTTATAATTACCAACTTAATATTTATATGTTTAGTCATTCTAGTTTTTTTCTTTCTAGATCTGTATTTGATTTGCGCTTGTTCACACTCATCTACACATGTTCACACTTGTATGTACTTCTCCATGCTCATTCTTAAATGTCCACACTCATTATTGCTGTAAGGGGTACAATTTTTATGGGCTCCATTTATCCAAGCCAGGAATTCGGTATTTGTGGTCATTTGTAGCATAACAGTAGTTACCAGTGTTATGTACTTATATTTTCTGATTAAATATTAGTCCATTTTGCTTGTTACAAACACTGTCTGACGTGCGTTGTATTCTACGCAAGATCGAGATTCGAGAACGCGTGTAGAATGAGGTCTATGTGGCGACACAGCCTCTCGAGTTTTCTCACACTTCTTGTTTCGTACTTCTACCTAGTACTCACAACGCCTCCACTGCTTGATAACGCTCTCGTTTCGTCGCAAAAAAGAACAGTCAGACAATTTCGAATAATTATGCCAAGAATTCGAAATGATCCAAATTTCAATATCTGTCTGGACTATGCATCAATTAACTTTGCGAACACGAGAGCACAACTCATTAATGAGAACGTCGATGAAGAACAAGCAATTCAATTACTCAGGAACATATGGCAAGCTAACAACGAGACAGACAAGGTTTTGTGGCAGCAGCAGTTAGCTGAGGACAGAGAGCAGCGGGAGCATGCACAAAGGATACAAGAAGACGAACAGGAACGAGTCAAACAAGAACGCATCGACGAAGAAGATGCCGCACGCAAGGAGGAAAGGAAGAAGAATAAACATAAGTATATTCCAATCCTGGACACGGGCATTCCAGACGAACCGTCTGTCACACCTTGCTCAGTACGTTCTTCGTAAACTAGACAAAGGTGAATACTGTCGAAATGTGGTATTTCACAAATGACTGGGCTAGACGAGGCATCAATCAAGAAGACTATAGATGACTGACGCCATGGTTCTATCAACCTTGGCGGATGGATCTACAGCCTGGATCTCTTCGGCATCAGCGCGTAACGCTAAGTCGGTTATCAATGACGAGAACTTACCGTTCGAGGAATTTTGTCAGGCATGTCCTCGCTTTCTAGTTGCCTTGGAAGAAGCGAACTGGCCGGAAGATCGAATCAGAATGATGGCACTGTTCTGGAGGAACATACAAGTGCACAAGTATCGTTCTTTGCGAGATCCAATAGCGCAAAAGACTCTTTTGGTCTATCAGGCCGAGCAACGCAGACGCTGGCACGTAGCAGCGAAATCCTCGACAGGACCATATAACATTTCGACGGTTAATGAAAAAGTACTGGCAGACACGAGGGAGAAAGTATACTGGGAAGAACGGCTCAAGAGAGACAACGCGCGCGATTATAAGGTCAGTTTATAATTATATTCTATTACGATTCTATGTTCATCTTTATCGCATTGTTTCTTTTGTCACGCACTTAAAAATTCATACAATACAACATGCAATCGTCACGCCTGTCGTATTGCTTCATGCCACATGCCACATGCCACATGCCTCACACCACATGCCTCGCATCACGCATCTCACGCTACATGCTATGCGACGCCTACGCTGCACAATATAATGCGCCGAACATGCGCTCAGTCAGAACAATGGGTTACGTCCGCATCCAGGCACAGAGACTCGAGAGAGTCGCATAAGCGTGCAGCTTCACCCGAGTACGGCAACAGAGCCAAAAGACCTAGGCAGGATTTTCGTCCAGGCACAGGTGGAGGTGTTCTATCCGCCTGTGCCGTTTGTCTTGGACGAAACCCTGCACAGGATTATCGAGTGCAAGGTGTCCAAACTCTGGGACGAATCAGTACGATACTCTCTGCGCACGAATCAGCAAAGTACTCACCATGCGAGACGGGAGACCAGTCTGCAGCGACTGGCAAAGAGTCAAAGGCTGTTCGGACACCACCCACGACCGAAGGCATTTTTGTTCAGGGTGCGGCAGCACGTCCCATGGAGCTCAGGCTTGTCCTCGAGCTCAGAAAGCGTAAGGCAGTCACACCATACAATCCGGACAGGTTGGAACACAATCTCGTCAAAGCATGTCTGCTCAACAGATATGCTGCACATTCCTAACAGCCTTCGCAATGGTTTCATTCTTAACATCCCTAATATTAAAGTCACACAAATGCCGCCGAACAAAGAATCCATTGGTACATACGAGCGAGAGTTTCAGTCTATTATTCAAATGGAACTTAAGAAGGGAAGATATATTGGTCCGCTCAAAGCTGATGAAGTCCAGAATCTCATCGGACCTTTTCAGTCGTCTCCGTTCTCCATTATACCCAAACCGGGACGTCCTGGACGGTATCGTGTCATACAGAATTATTCATTTCCACACTCTACTTCTTCTAAATTTCCTAATGCATCAATCAACTCGTACATTAATCCAAATGATTTTCCTAGTACTTGGGGCACCTTTCACGTGCTCGCGCTCACAATCAGCCGGCTTCCACCAGGATCTCAGATCGCCATCAGGGACGTCTCCGAAGCCTATCGCACGATTCCAATTCACCATTCACAATGGCCAGGAGCCGTCGTGCAAATCTCGGAAGAACATTTCTGCATCGACACGTGCATGTGCTTCGGCCTGCGACCATCAGCCGGAGCCTATGGTAACCTGGCAGACGCTTGTCTTGACATATTTTGCTCAAAGGGGATCGGGCCAGCATCGAGATGGGTCGACGATCATGTTTTTATTCGCATTCTTACAGAACATATTGCAGCATATAACGAAAGGAGAAAGCAATGGCATAGAGACATTACAGAGAGAGGACAGCATCAGGATGGAGGAAGGATTTGGTTTGGGGGACACATATTCGAAGACGGAACCCTGGAGGAATTCGACGAGGATTGTTGATTCCCTATTGCAGACTTGTCAGGGGCGTCAGTTAGATCGGCAGAAGATGTTCGATTCTCGTGCAACCTATCGGACATCGACCAAGTCTCAGACGATATTGGTGTTCCGTGGGAATTTCTCAAAGACAAACCTTTTGCTTACTCGAATCCCTACATCAGGATCATTTGGGATCTGGCACAAGACAGAGTATATTTGGCAGAAGAAAAGAAACAAAAGTATCTCACAGCGATTGAGCAATGGTCGCAACGGAGCACGCACACTCTCCTCGACGTGCAGCAACTGTATGGTAAGCTCTTACATACTACGCTCGTCGTTCCCAAGGGACGCACATATCTTACGTCGCTGGAGGCGATGCTGCGCCTCGCGATGGGTAAACTGTTTCTCCCATGGAGACCAGTTAAGAGCCTTGAGGGTGATCTCAACTGGTGGAAAACACTGCTACAGAATCCGTTTGTCGGTCGTGTCATTCCCAAACCGCTTACATTATTCAATCCAGCCGCATATTCAGATGCCAGCACGAGCTTTGGAATTGCTATCGTCATTGGAGACAGATGGCGAGCATGGCGTTTGCGTGAAGGATGGCAGACACTCAAAGGACAAAAGGACATCGGTTGGGCCGAAGCGGTGGGGTTTGAATTCCTTACTCAGTACATTATCGCAATGGGAAGAAAGGAAAGGCACTTCAGAGTATTTGGGGACAACCAAGGAGTTATTGAGGGATGGAAGAACGGACATAGTCGGAATACAGCGGTTAACACCATCTTTCGACTGAATCTTCGACCTTATCCACTGATTCCGGATCGGCTTACTCATTCCATCCAGCGTACGTCGCAAGCGAACAGAACCCAGCAGATGGACCATCCAGAGGGATCTATAGCAGCGCCGAACTTCTTCTCCCCATTCTCCCCATCCCAGAAGCACTTAGACCCTTCCTCTCTGACACGAACACCAGTTACAACGAAGTGTTCGACCAGTGATACAGAAGGAAGTCTTAATGACGCCAATGATAGACCTGTTAGCATCGATTCCGGCACAAGCGACAGTGAAGAGATCCGATACAGCACAGATTCCCATTTCTTCATCCGCCAAGAGCAGCAGCAGGGCGAGGAATGAGTCCCGTTTCAAAGCCGCACTGCCTGAAGAACAAATCAGTCAGACCGCAACCGTACAAAACAGGTTTAGTACCAATACCCTCGCAGCTGCGCCCTCATTGTTTGGCACGGGACCGGCTTAAGCTCTGGTTTCCATTCACATCCAGAGTAGCTGCAGGACCGGACGGGAAACGTTTAGCCATAACCGAGGAGGATCTGGAGAGAGTATTGACAGTGATGAGCTTATCATGGGCGGTTGGAACAAGAGAATGTTACGGGGCAGGACTGTTGGTATTCCACGTGTTTTGTGATGAGAGGAATGTCCCAGAAGATCAGTGTTGTCCCATAGACACGAAGACACTTCTAAACTTCGTGGCGAGTTGCGCAGGATCATACTCTGGAAGAACGCTAGGAAACTACGTATACGCGATCAAAGCTTGGCACACGCTCCATGGTCAACCATGGAATATACAGCAAGATCAGTTAAAAGCAGCGTTAGACGGAGCTGCAGAACTCACTCCTTCCACATCCAAGCGTGAAAAACGAGCACTGTTTTCCATCAAATTAATCCTCGAAATTTGTTTGCACTTGGACTTAACAGCATCGCGTGACGCTGCAGTATACGCATGTCTGACAAGCGCATTCTACGCACTATGTCGATTAGGCGAAATCACGGTCAAATCCATATCGGCATTTGATCCTAGAAAGCACGTCAAACGCTCAAACGTAGAGTTTGACATTGAAGATCGTAATCAATTTCGCGTAACCAAGATCTTCTTACCATGCACCAAAGCGGCCGCAGCAGGAGAGTCAGTACACTGGGCACAGCAAAACGATTTGACAGACCCCAAAGCGGCTCTCCTACATCACTTTGCAATCAATGATCCACCAATGGATGGACATCTATTCGCATGGAAACACGTCAAAGGATTCAGACCACTGACGCGCACCGAATTCTGGAAAAGAATCAGCGGCATATTGAAAAAGATTGGAATGGGGAACTTCAAAGGGCACGGTTTGCGCATAGGAGGGGCGCTAGAATATTTGCTCCGCGGAATACCATTCGATGTGGTCAAGTCCATTGGGAGATGGTCAAGTGAAGCCTTCACATTATATCTGCGCAAACATGCAGTCATACTGGCGCCGTATTTGCAAGAATTGCCTGCCCTAGAACCTTTCACGCGATATACAATGCCGCAAACACGTTAGAGAGGTAAGCACACCTTCAAAATACTATATCGAACTTTCTCCTTTAGAGCGGGTGTCCATGTTGAGCTATGACACGTCGCAAGTCTCCTATATCATTGGGAATCACAGCTCACATGGACTTTCTCCACAGATAGGAAATGGTGTTTCGGGTCACGAGACCCTGCGGGTCCGAGCCCAAATAGCTACACGAACGTTCTTGTTACCGTTTGTAAAATCAGAGATTATTGCTTACCAATATACGTGATTTTACTCGCTAGACCAGAGAGCAAAAGCTACACATAGACTGGGGATGAATGATCTGGGTGTAGGTTGTGTCGTGTCAATAATGAGAATTATTGTTCAGCCTGAATGGTTGCTGGCAGATTTGCATAGGCAGAATCACATAGTAGTCCGGGGATAAACAATCTAGATGTAGGTCACGTCGCGTCAATAATGAAAATTAAGTCCGCCATTCTGCCAACTGGTTTTGCCTAACCGGCAGATGGCAGAATCCGGCAGAATGTCAACCTACTGTATGGAAAGCAGGACAGCCGTGCTCGTTTTGTCACTGTCACATCACCCATAATAGGTAAGTGCAACATGGGGACACCGTGTACCGCAAGAACCTCTTTCAATGATATATATATATATTGCTTTGTACAACCTGCAATATCAATCAATCCGTTTCATTGGAGTCGGGGACCGGCACTTCCTAGCATTGCTATAATATCTACCAATCATCTGTTTCGTCAGCCTCTTCCTCATCAGAAAACCAAGCAGCTAACCCCTCCTCTTCAACAACTTGCTCAGCAGGAAGTAAAGATGTGTCCGGTTCATCCTGCTCTGCGAGTAAATCCAATTGGCGATGGTCAGATGCATCTAATTTGTAACCGGCCATTTAGAATAGGGCTCGTTTCAATCAACACACAAAATGTACCAAGATCTAGTCCTCCACGTACACCGCCCATGTAGTGTGCATCATTGGCACATAGTAACTCCCTCTCATGTTCGAGGAGAGGCAAGGGGTCTTCCTCAATGAAAACATGGATCAATGGCAGCAGCTGTGTGGCAATTTGGATAGAGTGAAGTATATCTAAGTAGACACGCCAGGCTGATTGGTGGTTGACTGGAGGCCGACCAAGGTCATCATAATGGTGTTGAATGTATTGATCAAGTGGTCGAGGCACCAAGTCGAATACGGGATGGTCAGGCTTGACATACATGTGTCGTACATGATCTATGCTGTCTTGATCAACGATCACCTAGTGTGTATCAACATGAGAATGTAATACCAGTAGGAAGAATGAAACTCACCTTAAAGTCCATTGCCCCAAAGTCTTCGGGGGAGTCGTAGATTAGGTTCAGCATGCCATGAGGCAAAATCTAGTCAATTATCATGTGAGGGTGGTGTGTATAACAATTTGCAAAATAAAATACCTTGTTACGATCACATCTTTTCGCAGTATTATTGACGCGGTCTTGATACCTGTCCAATTCACATTGCAGCCATGGAATGAATACCCACCGAAATACCATGACCTGAAGAACATTATCGCTGTCGTACCAACCACTTTCCACACCTTCGTCCAATAGTGTTTCATAGCCGGGCATGAAACTACGGCATAACTGAGACCAGGCAATTTCGGGCATAACATTCTTCTTGCTGCGCATCCACCGGTGTTGCAATGTGCCCTGCAGTGACGAATCGTACATTTGGCGCAGCATGGTGTGCGCATTGGCAATTCCATAGTTCTCAGATCCTGGGTCGCTCTGAGTAATCATAGGAATGTCTGATAAACCGCTGAGTTACTAGCACCATAGGTATTAGTTTTAATGAACTTATGACCTAGTTTCTCAATGGTGTCGAGATAATAAGTGAGTATAAGCTGGGGGTTGCAGTTCGAGTGCCAAACTCGTATCCACATGATATGACCGGAGAATGGTTCTATTCCCGTGTGCAGTGCAAGACTGAAACGAAACCATTTGTCGTGTTGATCCACAGTGAACAAGTTGTTCACACCAGCCACCCAGAATCGCCTCTGCTGAAGCTGACGGGCTTTCCGCTGGCACACAAGGCCTGCCTCGTATGCAGCAAAGTATGAAATAACCACATTCCTGTGATTGCTGGTCAAACTCACAACTGGTCAGTGAGAAACAAATCAGATACCTTGACATGCTCATATCCTTCTTGTGAAACAGCAGTGATACCATTTCTCGAGCCCCAGCATTTGGATATGCCTCATGAAGGTCTGTCATGGCATCACGGATGGATTCAATGGTGTGGTTTTGCTGCCGAGTACGCTGAAGTCCCATAGCATTACGTATCTCCTTGAATTTTGTAATACTGTGCACCCAACATTGAGGACGGGTGAAATCAACAGTCAATGGCAATGGACTTACCCTATTCCATAGCGGGACATATCAATGATCTTCCGCAAGCTTTCCACAATTGCCTGGTCAGTCTGATGAGCTCTCCACAAGCGCAGGATGTGAGGTGTGATCTCCTCAAGAGGCGCTGCCAGTGCAATTACACGTTAGTTAGACTCAGATAGAAGATCCATAAGTTCACGTATGGGTTGGCTTCCATTGGTTAGGCATGCCAGAATGTTTAAAGTATGGAAGGGTGAGAGATTCTACAATTTCCAAGCACGAAGGCTCTTTTAAGCGTGCCAGGATGCAGTAAGTATAAGGGTTTAGGTATTATTAAGTGCACAATAAGGCCACTCACTTGATTCTGAACAAAAGGAGTTTCGGATAGGGCGATTTGGACCGATAGGTGCTGCAGGTAATTCCAAGTTAGACACATGGTACTGCACTGGAAGAATGGAGTTTGCAACTCACAGATAGATCAGATACTTTAAGTTAGTATGTGAATCAGACATGGTGCCTTGACCTCCGAGTTGGATGGTATTGCGCTGGAAGAATGGAGTTTGTGAGCGGGACAGTTAATAGATACACAGGTGACTCACAGATAGTAGATCGGATACTTTAAGTTAGTATGTGAATCGGACATGGTGTCTTGACCTCTGAGTTGGATGGTATTGCGCTGGAAGAATGGAGTTTGTGAGCTTACCAGACTTGTCACAACGTTCTCATTGATCTAGGAGAAGTGGAGGTGAGCCATAGACTAGGTGGGCCATAGAATAGACTTACCTAGAATTAGGACAGTTACCAGACTTGTCCAATTTCTACATAGGCCGCAGTCATTGTGTAAAAGTCAGTCAAACCATTGCCTGCAAAAGCCAGCTGCAGTTGTGCACCACCATGTGATTACCAGGAAATCACTCACCTCACTCACTGCGGGATTGCCACAGGCAACTCCAAGTCCGGGTCGTATAGTATGCAGTGAATCCTACCCAAGATTGTCAACTAATTCATGTCAGAGTAGAAAGTAATAGTACTTACCACCAGTAAGTCAAACATGCACATGCAGGTGACAAGTTAGAACATGACGAGTATCACAGTGGCTGGGACTGGCAGTGTGAATTGGAGGGTATAAAGTATCAGCCTAATCTGTTTGTTAGTGCCATTCAAATTAACCTCTTAACAGATCCTTACCATGGAACTCGTCTCCCAATTCACAGAGGACGCTGTCACCCAGGAGGACCAAGACTGTGATAGACCAGCTTGCCGTCAGCGCATAGCCAGAAATGACCCAT